GATTCCGTTAAGGACTGGCTTGCTTCCCAAAAGGCATAGTGTGGAAGCAATGCGGCGTTTTATCTCGTCAGTTGCCCTTTTTGGGATGGACCCCAAACAGATACACTTTCTCCTTTGTCAGTTCACGCAGTGGGTCAGCAATATTTGTGAAATCCTGCAGGTAACGTAGGTTGTGAGGACACATACCTAGAAAGTGTCTTATTTCAGTGGAGTTCTGCGGACAAGAGCCTCGGTGATGGCACGCGCGTTGTCCAAACTTGGCTTCATACCGTCAGTTGTTATAATGTGGCCCAGGAACTCGATCACACTAGCATTGAATTTGCACTTCTCGTGGTTTAACCCGAGGTTAATGTCATGTAATCGACGTAAAACAGCATGCAGTCGTGAATCATGTTCTTCTGGAGTCCTACCGAATACACTATGTCGTCCATCTATACTATTTGGGCAGATAAACTAGTAAATGCGTGAACCAAGCTGCTGGGGCTGAACTCAAGCCCATTGGCAAGACATTGCACTGAAGGAGTCCGTCCGTATTAAAAAATGCGGTCAGCCGTCTTGGCATATAAACTAGAGGCACGTGAAAGAATGACTTCCTAAAGTCTAATTTTGAAAAGCAACTCGGGCGCTGGTTAGTTTGACTAATGGTTCATCCTCGGTTGAAAGCATAAACTTTTTTTCACGATTTCACGAGTTAAGGCCTGCAGGTCATTGCATGTTCCCACTTTGCCGGCCTCCTCGTGGACTGTTACCATAGGGCGGACCCATTCGGAACAGTTAATGGGTTCAATGAGAGCATTTGCAATCATTTGCCGCAATGTTGACGAAACAGCCTCTCTTCTGGCCAAAGGCATTGGACCTGGATGAGCAATAGCTACCGGTTTAGCATCCTGCTTCAGACAAATGCGGTGAACGGAGAAGGGAGCGCGCCCTATTGTTTGTTCAAACAGTTTCGGGTACTGTATCTGTAGGTCTGATGGGTTAATTGCCATGATACGCATACGAGATAGGGACGGCGTGACTCCCAGTGCAACCATAGCGTTGCATCCGAAAAGGGGATGGGTATTTCCGCGGGTGACATACACAGCAACTGATGAGTTCACGGCCCCAAGTTGCGACACAATCACCGCAAATCCCCCTATTTCTACCGGGGCCTTTGTATAACTGTCAAATCGATAGGCTGAAGGATGTACAGGCATGTCATTTAGGTGAATGTCATAAAAACTACTCGGTACTATAGGGATAGGAGAGGCTGAATCAAGTTCCGTGTCAACATGTGTTGTTCTATCGCGTACAATAACTGTAACAGTACGAATGTCAGACATAGGTAGTTTAGGCTCTGGACAAGGGGAACCATAGTTAGACACAGTACCTGTGTTATCAATGGAAACTACTTTTTCAGAGGACTGTAACTGCTGAATTGAAAGGGAATCTGTAGGATACAACTGAGAAATGCGTACTGAACGACAACAGCGGGCAAAATGTCCACGCTTACCGCACCTTTTGCAATCCATTTCTAAGGCAGAGCACTTGGCAAAATTGGCTTTATGCTGTGGGCTACCGCAGAGGAAGCGTTTCTGTGGGGACTGGAATTCGGTTGGCGAGCGATGGATCTTGGCAAACACCTGTATGTCAGCGTGGAGGGCGAAACATCGCTACTGTTCGGCCATACATATTTTGAGGCGAGCTAATTCCACAGCCTTATCCCAAGTCAATTAGGAAGCGTCTTCGGAAAGTAGACATTCCTGTATTCGGTTATTGGTTATTCCACTAATCAACTTCTGCACTAGCATTACGCACTCGATACTATTTTGGGTATGGTTGGATACTCGCAGGGTCGTGCACCGCGAATGAGGCGATCCACAAAACTGTCTAGAGTTTCCGATGGTCCCTGTGTAAGTCGGCCGAATTTGAGGCTAGCCATGAAGAGGTTTGTACTCTGGCCCCATGACTTCTCCAGCACATCTAGTGCTTTCGTTAAGGTATCTTTGGACTGGAGCTCCAAAGCATCAAACTGACATTGTCCCTCATCACCGAGTAAGTGCCTGAGAAGCTTCAGTTTCTGGCCTTCAGTGTAGTTAGAAGCCGCAGGTAGTAGGTTAAGATAGTTTGTAAACGAGGTTTTTCACTAGCCCATGCACTTTCGGTAGGACGTAAGGTCGGATCAGACCAGTAAACTGCAGGAGGATGTAATTCCATGGCGTAGGTTCGTAAGCCGCAATGCCAGTGTTGTGTACGAAAAGTCAAATGCACGAACCGAAGTAAGAAGGTCGCTCCGGTAAACGAACTACTGTAATCTGATAAGTGTCTAACTACGTGAGTACATTAAGGTGTCGCAAGGAGAAGGATGAACCAATAGAGAAACAGAGAATTAGGCGCTTTGTGTGTGTCCGGGGTTGTGTGCAGTGTCTGTTTTGACTAGCCGTCAAGCATGCTGACAGAATACACAACACTAACGCTCCTGCGCCTTTAGCATTCGAACAACTTACCTGTAAATCCGAAGGTGTTTAGTGATCGAAGAGTGGTCGGGCTCCAGCTGTCGTTTATTTGCTTCATCTTCATCCTCGGAGGCAATATTGTTTCTTAAGGACTCGATGTTCCTCGATTTAAGAAGATCGTGAATAATTTGCTCGGCCGATCTGCCTAAATGCGTTCTCACAGGTTGTTCGCGAAGTAGTACACACAAGGCCTCGGCGTAAAGGCAATTGATCTCAACCAATGCCCGAAGTACCGTTAGTTCGAGATTAGTTAACGTAGGTGACGCAGTGAGGTTCTCTCGGAGGGCCTGAGCTATGTCCGCGTAGGAACTCGTTGTCTCGGTGACTGATGCGCGCAGCTTAGTTATCACTGTTCAAGAAAAGACACGGACAATCATCCGATGATATTTCCCTAAAATATCATTCACCGAAGTAAAGAAAAACCTATGATAAGGACTAAGGCTAAAAAGGGAGCAAATTTACACGATAAACTTTACGTCACAACTGAATCAAAAACCAGAGGATGCGATTTCGTTTCGTTTATCATAGTTAAGACAAGTAATCCAGTATTTTAAGCTCAGGAAATCTTTTTATTACCATTTGGTCATTACTACTGTGTGGAAGTTTTCAGCCACAAATCGTGATTTTGTAATATCTGGTTTCCGCTTAAGTGTATTCTGACGTTTCGAATGTATAAGTTCTAACTGCTAGATGTCGACGTGATTTACAAGAAGAGATAAACAGCACGGCTTTGGGTCTTTGGACATGTCTTTGAAGGAGTACTTACAAATGTAAACATGTACAGGAAGCAGCATTGCGTTTGAATTCGATTATGCTGCCGAATACATTAGATGAAAGTCATGATAATCAAAACTTAATAACTAAGTTGAAAAGGTGATTGAGATGAGGCCGATCACGAGGGAGTTGAACGTCATGAGTCGGTGTATCGAACAGCCTAGGCAACACAGCTGTATGATAGGTCCGTTCAAGGTTACTTTGGGAAAGTGGCGTGATTACCGTAGTGGGCGGAAAATGAACAGAATAAATGTGGGACAACTTTTGTTTCGCTCTTAGTCCCTATTTTCGGCGTCTACTTGTAAAAGCTCTCACTGTTATCACTGGACGTTATACGATCTCTGTTGAGTCGTGTGTGGTTGTCTAGTGGACATGCTCAAATGCGTCAAATGCGTGGCTTAGTGATTCCATGAGATTAATATCTATATTTGTCTTTCATATTTGTGTTTCGACTTTGTGTGATAAATTATGAAAGAATTAGTAGTCTGTTTTTCCGGATCTCAACAGCGTCCTGTTCACGTCTCTATCCATCGGTTTAGTTAAAGCTCTTCCGTTATGGTCTCAAAGTAAATATCAGTATCAATTAGACAGCCTAACATAGGCCCTACACGTTTAAGTACTTTATGCGTTCAAGAAAATCAAAATTGTCTTTCAGGATGTTGTTCTGATATCTGAGAGCAAACGTAGAAAATGCAAGCTTACCTGAGTGCAGGGAAAAGGGAATTTCGGGTGTATTAGTGGCTTGTGTCTCCTCTTTGGACACAGCTTTCGGTGCTCCCAAAGACTCTTTCGTTTTGACAGACCTGAAAACCAGTGAGTAAAGGGAACGTGGAAAAGTATTTGCATCTATAAGTCAAGCAGGGATGCTTCCAATTGATATCTGGATTCAGAAGTCGCTGTGTCGTCAATTCAGTGCACTCTAACCGTTGTGTGTCTCAATAAACACGGACCGAATTTGGAGCAGGGTTATTTCTCACAAACGCTTCGTTCTTTGTTTCACGTACATCTAAGCTAGAATCCTTAGTGTCCGAACTACAGCACAATAACCCAGCAGGACCACAATGAAACTCTACGCTTATGTGGCTTATCCTAAATCCGTTCAAATCATATGCAAGGTGTAGTATACTTAGTAAGATACGCGCCGCACAAATAACTCTGGTGATCCCATGACTCACGGTTTGTTTATTCCTCCATACTGCGTCATTTATGAATTCACTGTAATTTTATGGAATCAATTATGGACGGTCGTTGCTGCTCACTTTTTAACTGTGCACTCTCCGTATATATCCCAGTTATCCGGAAAGGAAGTTACTGTTTACTCAGTGTACTGGTAATGAACTAACTGAATATAATGTCAAAATGTTATAGCACTGAGATTACTTTGTTTGTTGACTACCTACAACATCCTGCTGAGAAATGCCGTCAGCAAGCAAAGCATGCTCTCCTCGTGTGTGAACGAACTGTTGTTGAAAGCAGCATTGAAGAATCTACACTAACGTTATATTGTTGAGGGAATAGCTGAGGTGAAGAAGATTTAAAATTAAAATTAAAATTAAATTAAAATTAAAAATTAAAAATTAAATTAAAATTGAATTAAAATTAAAATTAAAATATGTGCACCGCTTTTAGTCAGTAGCCAAACAATGTAGCTGGATTGTTGCGAGTATAAATTGAACAATGAAACTTGATTTATAAGGGGTAAAAGGTGAGTGCTTAACAAATGCTGTAGGATGACCGGGGTGAGTAATAAGAAATCAATTGCAAATGACAGGAAAGCGGTGAAAATTCGGGTTTTAGTTCGCTCACCAAGCGACTCATATGAACTCATAGATGCAGGTTCGCTCACCACTAGGTTATCGAAGAGAGGTGGTGAGCGCACTGTTTGGTTTGCGTTATTTCAACTTCTGACTGAAACAGACTATATCACGTAAAGTAAGGGTAAAGAGGAAGTGTGTTGGTTGTTTCTTCGTGTCATGGATACCCGAAATGAGTGTACATTTCGGCGGCACTAAAGTTGACAATGATACCTCGACAGTTGGGCTGGTGACCTGTTAGGTTAATATTGTGGCCAAGTTACAAAAGATCGTGACAGGCGTGATTTGGACTCGTCAGTATTAGGCACACCACGGTGAGATTTTCGCGCAGACGCCGATATTCATCACCGTACAATCTAAGGACTGGAGATGTAATTTAGTAGAGGAGATGAGACAACACACTGACATTTGTGTTTGCTTTACGTTGTGCATCTTCAAGCACATCAGCATCATCTTTGCTTTACGGACACCGGGCTTGGGTAGCGTATTCCCTATGCGGCTTCACCTAGAAGTTCAGTGTTTGCGAAACGATAGATTGCTCCAAATTCCCAAACGCCCTCTGTAGGTGGCTAGGGAGCTGGTGCCCACTTCCCGATAAGTTTAAGGCCTATTTCCAGCAGCCAAGTTCATCACACACGATTGACCTGAGGTCACTTTCGTGAGAAGAACGCTGCAACTGCTTGTCCCCAAGTTGATATTCAAGAGTACGCTGATGGTACACGAAAAAATACTTGCATTTTATTGCGCTGAACTGGATGAGGTTCTCGGATGGCAACCTATAGTCTATGACGATATCACTCGGTAGTACCGTGTGATCGTCCATCATCTTGTTGGCATGACAGACCTGGACATCGTCTGGAAATGGTAGTAAGTCCTGCTGGAACTCACTGACATGGTCGTTGATGAATACTAGAATAAATTTGGTTCCAGTACCGACTTTGATTATGTCGGAAATGTCGCTGAGTACTCTCATATTCAGCTGAGACTGAATAAGGAAGCTGATCATCTGACCCAAAGCATGGTCAACACTTAAATATTCCTGAAGCTTATGAAGCAGAAGATGGTCTCCCAGGCGGTCAAACATTTTGGAGGATTTCACGTAGACGATCTTAAGTACTATACTGCCATCGAGGGAGTCCGTACACCTTACTCGAGCTACCAGCAAGAATTTAGTGTAGGACGAATTTCAGCGAGATCGGTGTTGCTGTGACGTTATGACGTGGTTGTTTTCAAGGTGTCCCATGAGCGTTTTTACGAGAATAACTTTTAATACTTTAGATGACACCGGAAGGAAAGCTATTAGACGGAGGTCTTGGGCTCCGCACGATTGGCATTTTTGTAAATAAGAGTCACACTTCGATGTTTGCACATTGTGTGGATCTGTATATTTTCAAGGTGTTGTTACAAGAACCAGGCGAACTGTTTGGCGACTTTATTGGCGACTACCTTTAGTGATTTCGTTCTGATCTCATAGACACCAAGAGAGCTGAGCGCGCACTGAAGGATATGTGGCTTAACCCTTGGGCCGGTATGAGCTGTGGAAAGGCGAGTAAGGTAACGAGTGACTCTGGAAAGTGAGGATGAGCTTTGCCGAAGCGCTTTAGCCGCGCGTTGTTTAGTTAGCACTAAGCCATCTAAGTACAGTACAGTTGAACAACTATTATCCGGACACTACATTGTGTTATATGCAGTTGCCATTAATGGAGCCACCAGAATAACAGTTAATAAAAGCGACGGAAAAAGAAGCTAAAGGTAAATAGAATGTGGAGAAGACGAAAACAAGAAATGACTACGTAAAACCAATCGGAATGGTAGGAAAATTAACAGTTAGATGCAAGAAATCGAATACAGGAACGCTACTGACTGCTCGACTGCTTGGCTGATAGAGTCCCCAACCAGAAATGTGAATCAACCCGGAGCCAACGTCCTGGAAGACAAAACACACAAACTCCAAGCAAGTCTCTCAGTCGATTTCTTCATGCCTTTAGGCCAAGTCACTGACTGGCTACCTCTTGTTTTCACCAAACTAGGTGCAGCGACAGCGTATAATGCACGCCGAGGAAGTCGGTCAACCGGCATACGGAGGACATGACTTAGCCAACGTTAGCAGTTGAATGTAAACAAACACTCGACTGAGACACCAAAAGGTCTCCTGTCACAAACCAAGTTGCGGATATCAACAGTGCATGTCCGGGGTTCCCACCAGATGTGAGTAATAATCAGTAAGCAACGGTGAGAAAACACAGCCAAACGTTGATTATCTTCGCCACGAATTGGACAAGTCTCTGATCCACAAAATAAAATCCGTCTTATGGTGGTGTTAGACACCCTACCTTTCACTGACAGACTGATATTCCACCGTCCTATAGATGCTTGAGCCTCTGAAATACCACACGGGCCTTATTGAAACGCGAAATAAATACTTTAGTGATGCGAACACCAAAGATGACACAGCTACCTAAGTAAGCATACCTGACCATCAGTTCCATTAGCTATTGAGTGATAGAACTAGCGACGTGACGGTCCAGTCCTGATATTCTACTTTACATTTTAGAGGTGCGAGGCATAGGCTGAAGTGTGCAGCGATAGCATCAGTATATTCAGCAATGCTTGTCTAACCGCTATGTCAGACACAAGGGGAGCTATGGCACCAGTAAATGCATAGATTGTCAGTCCTTCACCTAGCGGATTTTCCACTACAGAAGAGTCTGAAAAGTCAAAGTGATTCACGCTCATTTTCCTCACCAATTTGCAGAGCAAAGAAAACAAAGAACAATCCTGGTGAACCCAAGTATCGTGCGTAACGCAAAAGATAACTACCCGTAGCCACTTAGCTGACCTTAGGATTCACAATAGAGATCTCAGAATCAAAATCTGTTTGCTAGTCCTTTCCTTTACGAATAGGCGGCACCACAAGCTAGCTCTATCAGCAGTTTTGAAGAAGGATTTTACGCAAAGATGAACGACCACAGTCCATTACCTCCAATTGTTTCTGTGCTATGACTCAACGGAGAGCATTAAGGTGGTAGAGGCAACCACGACCTGGGCGAAAGCCGGATTTCAATGATCCGGGGCTCAAGAATACCACTGCGTCATCGAAGAGTGACACGTAAAATAAATGAAGGAAATGAAAAGAAGGCTAATGCGTCGGTGCTTTTCAAATCTTGCCCTTTAACTATTGTTAAAGTTGGGAAAGGCAATCGACAGTTGCAAGTCTGAAGATGTCTCTTTAATGTCTGAAATATTGTTAAATGGTACAGCAAACTCAGTCAACAAAAGTAATCTCCATCTTCCAACAAATATACAGGAATGTTGTCGGATTCAGGAACCTTGTTTTCTTTCGACACGGAGCTCTTATGTCGAATCTCTTTTAAAGTGGGAGGGTTGACATCGACTTCCCACATCGGCTCAAGCGATTCAGCAAACGGTATTGTCGCGGCTGAAATGCAGTACATTTTGCTCCTCCTAACCGAATAGTCGACGAGGATGAGAATGGATCAACTGACCAACAACCTCAGTTATAGTCCCGCTGCCTTTCTTGTATCTATACTCCGGATGAAGTAAACCAGTATTAGGCTGTTCCCAATTGCACTGGTTTTCTCCATCTCAATGGTCCTTAGCACACTCAAATGTTTCCGATTAGTTCAAAGGCTATTTGTCAGTCGTGAATCCTAGGCGTTACGGACGCGCTGCTACTCATTACCCACGGAATCTGCGTCTCTCTATCAAACTGTGCGATACCTCGGAGATCCAAACAGAGTTTTAACTCCTCAAATTGAACGCACAGCAGACGTCAAACATTCTTTGTGGCATATTTGAAATGATTCCAGCCAGCTTTCGACTCACCAACCTTATTCATCACAATTACTGGGACAGTTCATCATGATATTGGTGAAATGCGAACTGCGACTTCAAGTTACATGTGAGAACTTTGGTATATACGAGCCTCTTTTAGGCGAGAAGACTGAAGGTTAAGCATGCACGCACTA